TTGTTTTGGTGATTTCAAATGTCAACACTGGCTACCAGAAATCGCTTACCCCACCTTTAAAGCGGCACTGCGCAGACAGATCGGTGCATGACATCAAAGTACCCATTCATCGATCGGTCTGCGCAGTTCCACTTTAAGTCGAATACACCTATAGTTTTGGGTGTTCATTAAGTTCCATCACGAAATATACATCATTTAACCCGAAAAATCAGGTTGTGAAAGTATGTCTATGCCTAGTTTCGGTATCTTTAGGTTCACTTCAAAAATGCCAGTGTGAACGCTAAGTGGACTAGGACCAAATGTATCATTTTCTTTTTTGGTCCAGACCAAACAAACAAAGAGAACCGAACTACAAGTGTGAATGCACCCTTAAAATAAGTATCTTCACAGTACATTTTGTTCATGTTCTTCAGGACTAAAGAACAAAACTTTAATCTCACAACAAACGGCTGTTTTATATAAAGCACAGATGTTTTTCAAGCTGCATGTTACACTTATTTTTATGTCAGGTGCACCTGGTTTGCCTGGATCTAACGGAGACAGAGGATTCCCGGGAGGGCCAGGGCTCATGGGCCCACCTGTGAGTGCTTCCTCACACATTCTGGATAACTCACTTTTTGTTTAAAGTGACAGATGATTCAGAGTGATTAAGAAACACATAAGTACTTAACACTTCTACACTTTAGGGAATACCAGGACCTCAGGGTCTCCCTGGAGTCCCTGGAGAGAAGGGCGACCCAGGCGATGCACTCTCTGTTCGGGGTGTGAAAGGAGAAAAGGGAGACACAGGCTTTCCTGGCACTTCAGGTCTGCCGGGACTCAACGGAAGACCTGGTCGTGATGGAGTTCCCGGTCCCCCAGGCCTCAGAGGACCACCTGTGAGTGTTTGTTCACTTTTCATTAAAAGTACAACTTCTGGGTCTTTTATACAGTTAAGTACATTGATATATAATAATACACAGATATAATAATACCAGGCAGGCCAGGCAATAATAATTGATGATGAAAATAATAATTCTCAGACTACTAAATTGCCATTTTAACTTAGTCAACCTTTGAAGAACATTTTCAACCTCTATTTAACCCTCAGAATTAAAAATGATTCTTTTTTATTGCTCTGCATTTAAGATTTCTATGTAAACTCACTTTTTGTGTTTATTACAAGAAACCAAGACTTTGCATGACTTTAATAACAGGTTCACAAAACAATTTGCAGTGAAATAAGCCATTTTTTCTTACAGGGTTCGGCATTAGTGAAAGGCTCACAAGGTCCATCAGGTGAACCTGGCTTGCCAGGACCTCCAGGAGACAGGGGTCTGTCGGGTCCCCCAGGATTTGGTCCTCAGGGACCTCTTGGAGAGAAAGGTATCCAGGGTGTTTCAGGAAGATCAGGGGCCCCTGGAGCACCAGGTAAAAAGCAATCTTTTTGTCTTGTTTTTAAGTTCAAATTATTTTAAGGCTGTCAGTCAATTCAAAATGTGAATCATATGAATTACACATATGCTATTTTTGCACTAATCAAGGTAAATAAGTGTACATTCCTGTTATGTGATAACTAGAATTGCAGCTGACTACTTTAACTTGTAGCTTGGCATGTTTCAGTGTAGCAGTGATCTTACAATGGACATTACATTATCTCAATGTTTGTCTGAATGGGTAGGTCAGAAAGGTGAACCTGGGTTGGCAGTGTCAGATAAAGGTGAACGTGGACCCCCAGGACGTGATGGAGATCCAGGTTTGCCAGGAAGTCCAGGTAAAGAAAAAACAACTGACTATAGTTGTCAGTATACATTTAGTTGTCTTAAATGCATATGGAGCAGGTGGGGAATTCAGAGTTCAACAGAGACTGGTTCTATATCTGTACAGGTAATCCAGGCCTACCAGGACAGCCTGGGTTCCCTGGCTTACTTGGACCCAAAGGAGATCCTGGTCTTTCTGGTATTGGTTTGCCAGGACCCCCTGGTTCTAAAGGTACAATGTTTTCCTGCAATTGAAACACTAATAGACTCATGTAGATTGTCTGCTGCTATGTGTTTTCCAATTCACTAAAAATAGTTTAAAGGATAAAATGAGCATTATTCATTGAAAAAAGTCAGATTTGGCCAAATACATGCCAGTTAATTTCTCTAGAAACATGTATTGTGCCACATAGTCATTTTTATAACTTGGGTAGTGAGAAACAGTTTTGTCCATATGTCTAACAGTGTTGTCCATATTCTTCAGGATTTCCTGGTATTGCTGGTTCCCCTGGTGGACCTGGTATTCCTGGACGACCAGGTTTGGACGGACTGCCTGGTCAGCCTGGATTACCTGGACCCAAAGTATGAAACATTTAATCTAAACAATACAATATGAATTTATAAACTTCACCTATACATGAGTATTTTACCATCAGGTGATAACCGAATATTTGAATCATCAGTTTCTGAATCATTCTATTGCACATTAACAAAATACTATATACACTTTCATTTAGGGTTGCACCGAATGTTCGGCAACCAAAATTGTTTTATATCACATTTGAATAAGCGAAAAGACCGAATAATATGTACCGAACAATGACGTGACGCGATCAAATAGAGGCGGGCACTAATGCAGCAAACGTGTTTGCAGTGTGAAAGTATTTAAAACTGTCCGAGTAAGACGCAAAAATCATTTCAAGCACAAATCGCCAACAGCGAGAGACTGCTTAGTGCTGCATCTCATGTCTCCGATGAGAAGAGGAAGGGGTGGTTGCTACTGGTTACTGTATGATGATTGAAATTGCGAAATGGCCTTAAACAATTAGTAAATAAACTGCAGAATGATGTTTTCTACACGCACGGATTGCATGTAATCAAACAGCGCTGCACGAGCTCGCGCCGCCAGGGTTCAAAGTCCAAAGCGCGAGGCAAATCTGCGCTGAAACACAATGTTACTCATCAGTTGCTCAGTAACATTTTTATGAATTTTTTAAAGCCATGTAACAATGTGATACCTGCGACAAACATCTTCCCAAATTCTTAATGAGAATCATTTATAAATCTGTTGTCAACAAAAAGAAGCACCGAGATCTTCCTGTGGGTTTCTGCCAAAATAAAAGCTGAGAAAAAGCAACAACTCCCATCAACATTCATAAATGTTAGTATTGTAATTTTACTGTTGTTCTGTAGAATAAAATAAAAAAGACAATAATAATGAAAATGATAATTACCATACAACAGCTCTATTAATACATTTATTATATTCACACATAGTGTTCAAATTGGGATCTGTAATATATTCTACTGTTTTAAAAGAAGTCTCTTCTGCTCAGCAAAGCTGCATTTATTTGTACAGTAAAAAAAAATACATGCCTGATTCAAGTCTCAAAAATGGCCAAAAAATATTATTTTACTAACTTATTAATTTTAAATTAAATTGTGCTTTGTTGGTATAATGTCTGCTATGATGTTAAACAATGTTCAGTGTTAAGTAAATATTTTTAAATTGTTGTTTTGTAATTGATTTTTTTATTTGAAAAGCAGGACAAAACAGTAAAAAGCACATTTTGGCTATTTAATTTATGCAATGGTGAAAAAAATGGCAAAATACATGGGGGGGAAAAATGCCAAAAACCGTGTTCGGTATTCGGCCTTCGGCCCAGTGTTTCATTTTATTCGGCTTTGGCTTCGGGTAAGAATTTTCATTTCAGTGCAACCCTACTTTCATTCAAAATTTTGGGGTCAGTAGGATTTAAAAAAAAAAATGTAATACTAAATTAATGCTGAATTTTATTCAGCATGGATGCATTAATTTGATCAAAGGTGATCGTAAAAACATCTGTGTTAAAATATTTCTATTTCAAATAAATGCTGTTCTTTTTAAATATATGAATTAATCAAATAATTCTGAAAAAATGTCATGTCAAATGTAAAAAAAAAAGTCAAAAATATCAAATATCATGTCAAAGGTTTCTGAAGGATCATGTGATGGCTACTAAAAATTAAGCTTTGCCATTGCAAGAATAAATTACTTTGAATATGAAACATTTATTCAGAACAAAACAGTTATTTTAATGCTGTTTCACAATATTGCTATTTTACTCTTTTGACAAATAAATGCAGCCTTGGTTGAGCATATGAGACTTATTTCAAAATGTTAAAAAACCTTACAGACTTAAAGTTTTGAACGGTAGAAAATATAGTTTTGGATTCATTCAATAATTCATTCATTTGACATTTTAATCAGTTGATGACTGAATAATGAAAGGAGTACAAGTGCAAACTGAAATTTGCAGGAAGAAATGAAGCTGCTATGTGCATCTGTTTTACTTTTTTATGCTTGAATTATGAATTATGGGCAATATAGTGTTTACTGGTTGTATGCAATAACTTAGAGTGCATTATGGTTATAAATAAGTGGACTGTATTAGGAATTAATAGCTTTAAGCTTAAAGTGCTCAAATGAGTGTCTTTGTCCCCAAAGGGAGAGACTGGTTTTGGTCTACCTGGACCTCTAGGCCCTACAGGATTACCAGGCAGTAAAGGTGCTCCCGGTTCTAAAGGTGATCCTGGTTTCCCTGGAAGCCCTGGTGCACCAGGTCGTCCAGGTCTTGACGGGGCTTCTGGATCTAAAGGTAGAGATTAAATAGTAATGTTGGACTGTAAACAAATTAGATACCTTTAAATTTTTCTAACATGATTTTTTTTTTATTATTTGCAAATGATCTTTGCATTTTCATTTTGCACTTAGGTGATCCTGGTTTTCCTGGTGGTCCTGGTTCTCGTGGCCCCCCAGGGCCCCCTGCCTTTGGCCTTCAGGGCCCCCCTGGTCCTCCTGGAGCTCCTGGCTCTATGGGGTCTAATGGTATGTCTGCAATTTTTTTTATTAAAAATGTGTCCAAATATAAACGGAGAAGCTCTTCCTGTGGACTATTCAAGCATTTAATGAACTGTGAGACCAGAACGAATCTTGAATTAGAGATATTCTTGTAAAAATATTCTTTCTTTGTCTAATAAAACATTATTTTGAGGATTATAAACCTTATGCATGTAAAACTTGCCAATAACTTCTTGGAAGTATAAAAAAATGTGCGTTCGATAAAGTGTATCTCGTAAGCTTTATCAAACACTGATGTTAGGACCACTATTATGGTTCTTAGTAAAACAACTCTGTAGTGTTTTACTATATCAAACCATTGTCGTCTTCTCTTCATCAGGAGTCCCTGGTGTGAATGGAGAGAAAGGAGACCGTGGCCCCCCAGGTTCGAGTTTTCCAGGGTTGCAAGGTGACAGAGGAAGCCCTGGACTTCCTGGGCCTCCTGGTTCTGCTGGTCCACCTGGGGGTCCAGGACTACCTGGTCAAGATGGCCTATCAGGACTGCCCGGTAATATGATGAGAGCAATATCCCCTGATGTTATCACATTTTACTGTATTTAATATATACAATGTATGTCTTGTTTCTTTATGGTCTTTCTCTACTAATCCTATATCATTATTACAGGGCCTAAGGGAGACATTGGTGGGATGGGTGCTCCAGGACCTGCAGGTGCCCCTGGCAACCCTGGCAGACAAGGCTTTTCAGGACCAAAAGGTCTGATACCATTTTTGGCTTTAGCTCAAATTTCTGAAACAATTTCATAAAGTCCCTTGTAGAGTGAAATATTATTGTGCTCTGTGCCCCGGCAGGAGATGACGGTGTCCCAGGACGACCAGGAAGCTCAGGTTTCCCAGGATCAAAGGGAGACAAAGGTGACCCAGGCATTCCAGGCCCACCTGGCCTAGGCCCACCTACAGGTCTACTTAAGGGACAAAAAGGAGAACCCGGATCTCTAGGTGAGCTGCTACCTTCATGTAGAATTACTTAATTTCTGAACTTATATGTTTTGTTTTCTTTGTATGTATGGATTACTTGGGTTGTTACATCCATCTGGTGAAAATGTCATGTCAACAGCACCTTTAGAAATATATTTACTGGGAAAAATGGTGACGTGTTCAATACTTATTTTACCCGCTGTATATATACATATATATATATATATATATGTGTGTGTGTGTGTGTGTGTGTGTGTGTGTGTGTGTATATGTTAGGACGTTCACAAATAAATAGAATGGGATTTGAAAATAAAAAAACACATTCACAAATATGTTTTTATGTCACAAACGCAACTATGCCTGGCATTCATTTGTGAATTCACTGCACTCATGGATTTTAAAACATCTCTACCATCAAGACACACAAATCCACATTTCGCTGGCCAATCGTAGCATGTTCTTGATGCAACCAGTCACATTTTGCTTTACAGTCAAATCTAAACCCATATACTAGTGGTCACCAATATAGATTTTTTTGATTGTCCGATGGCCAATATAAAGTAAAAACATATGATAAAGAAATAACCTAAAAACCTGCTATTAAATTTATATTTGTTTAACATAATTTTTTAGTCAAATAATTACAAATTATTTGAAAATGAGTACATTTTTGATTTACTAAAATCTGTGAAATAAATATATGCTTTAGATAGCAACTAAATGGTATTATGGTGTTTTCAAAAATAAAGAAATAAACAATGTAACCAACAGTTTACTCAGTAATCCAAAAAGTCTGTGTGCACTGGGGGTTATATTTTCTCAAATAAAGACCATTTAATGGCCAAAAAAGTCCCATTTATGACAATTATTGACCGAACAGAAAAACGTATTAGCCAATGTCGATAATTATAAAATGCCCAGTGTCAGCTGGTGTATCAGCCTTGGCGAAATGTTGGTCAACCACTACTTTCTTCATAATTATCTTTTCTCATACCTTTTCTTTGTGATTGGTACATCAGTGGGACCATCTCTTATTTAAAGAAAACTGGGTCCCTCCTTGACGTGTTTTTTCCAAATTCAGAATGAAAAGAATTGATCCTTTTAATCCCCTCATATATTTTGGTCACTCCACGATTCTCTTTATTTGTTTTGTAGGTTTTAGCGGACCACCAGGAGCAAAGGGTATTCCCGGTATCACTGGAGATCCTGGTCTCCCTGGGCAAGATGGAAGGCCGGGTCTACGGGGACCTCCAGGTAAAGCAGACAAGTGCACATATTTGAGCCATAAAAAAAGCATCTTCAATCAACTAGTGTACTGTATGTGCATATGTACTATTCAATGGGTTTTGGTTGACAAGTTTAATGGATTTTGTCTTGTCATGTCATGTTTAGGCCTCAAAGGTGATCCTGGTATTCCAGGAACTCCAGGGTCTCCAGGAGCCCAAGGACTGAAGGGTAGCATGGGGGAGATGGGATTACCAGGTCAGCTCTTCATTCTCGTACAACTCAAAACCATTGACCGTTGTTTCTGAGGCTTTGAAATCTTAAAGCTAGACTGAGCCAATCTTTTTTGTTATAGGAGTTCCTGGAGTGAAAGGAAACTACGGCCAAACAGGCCGATCTGGCCAGCCTGGTTCCCCAGGAACACCAGGGTTCCCGGGACCCAAAGGTGATCCTGGCTCACCAGGATTTGGATTACCGGGAACTCCTGGGCCAAAGGTAAAAACATCATGTTTTCTGCTTAAACATTGAGAATATTTACTTTAATATTTAATCCTATTAAATTCCCAGGGTGAACCAGGCCCTCCAGGATTTCCTGGAACCCCTGGTCTGAAAGGCCAGCCTGGCCTTTCAGGATCTTCAGGCTTGCCTGGTAGCCCTGGACCAAAGGGTGATCCAGGACTCCCAGGATTCCAAGGTGCACCTGGCATTCCTGGCCCTAAAGGTTTGGATGGTGCTCCAGGCACTTCTGGTCCTAGTGGAGCATCTGGTAGGCCTGGAGATCCTGGACGACCTGGATTAACTGGCCTCCCTGGTGATAAAGGTCTTGCTGGACGTGATGGTATTCCAGGACCTCCGGGACAAAAGGGTGAACCAGGTTAGTCTGAATCCAAAAGAAATCAAAAGTGCATTGGATGTGCTCAATGAAGTATATGTATCTAGAATCATTTGTTTTTAACTTTCTACCTAGGCACTCCAGGCCTTGGTGGCCCAGGCCCACCCGGTTTCCCCGGTTCACCAGGTAAAGTACTGAATGATATTTTCATGTATCTTCATTTTTACACCAGAGAACTTGTAACAAAGTCCTCATCATAATTTTCATAGCAAATTTACAATAATTGGCTGTTTTTATAGGGACTAAAGGAGACCCTGGTTTTCCGGGTCCTGCCGGTAGTCCTGGATTTCCTGGTCCAAAGGGTGATGCAGGATTTCCTGGGTTGCCTGGCCCAGTTGGTTCTGGAGGACCACCTGGGCCTCCAGGCCTGCCTGTACAGGGACCTAAAGGTTTCCAAGGCACACCTGGTGCCCCCGGAAGAGCTGGTAAGTTAAGCATCTTATCCTTTTGGCCAGCTCTGCCCTCTGGGTTTCAAGCCGACATTTGCCTTTATTTTGGTTTAATTTTAATAAAGAGTAGCCTGGAGTAGAATGTCTAAAAAAGAACAAACTCTTAAAATAAAATAAGTTTTTTATCCAAAATAAGTATCCAAAGAATTGTTTTAAGCAGAACTTCTAAATTGGCCAACGAAAACACAATTTTGTAATCCCTTCAAATACTGGCTTCACCACATACTTCTAATATTTAATACTGTGCTTTACCACAGTGTTTGTTGTTTTTCTTATGTATGCCTACACCCAACAGAAGCAAAACAAATCGTCTGGTAATTCACACAACTTACACACTGTTTAGTTTAAAAAGGAACTGAATGTATTAACAACATTAATTTTTATCTGCTGTCAGCCCCAGTACTAAGTCATAAATCTGTTTTAGAACTTCAACAAAAAAGTTTGGTACAAGTACTCCTGTTTGGGAATCACTTCATCAGCACATGTAATATTATGATTGTGAACCAGAGGGCATACTGGCTTTGTTTTTGTTGGTTTGGCTGATTTGCATGGAATATTGCACAAGCAGTCATGATTATGCCATATCCATGTCCAATGAGCACAAATACACTCACTCTTTAGATGACAGAGCACAAGACACACTGTTTGCATTACCTTCACTGCAAGTGATCTTCTGTTCTCATCACTCCCTTCCTTTATTGTGTACCGGTTTGTCATGTGTTAGAGAGAAGTGAAGGATGTGCATGCATGAAGAGGTTTTGTGCAGTCATTGTTTCACAGTTGCCCAGTCAGGGCTTTATGAGTATTACACACAGCTTTCACTATCCAAGGTTAGCTGTTCACCCGTCCATTCATCTATCATCATTCACTCTTGTGTGTCTTCACTTCCACCCGTCCCTTTTTCTCAGCAGTAAAAGCTGCAGTGTTATCCACAGGACGCTGTCTATGTCTGTCTGTCACCAAATGAAACGAGGGTGCATCTGGCATTTTTGCATGAGAAATGTGCTGATTTGTAAGAAATGAAAAGCCATTGCAAGACTATCTAAAATGGGCTCCACCTTGGAAAAAAGAGCAAAAACATTAATGAATTCTGCTGCACTTCATATAAAATAGATATAAAGCTTTTGAATTTGATGAAGAAGGAGACCATTTTGGCTAGTGTCTGTTGGGCTTATTTTTACCCAGGCACGTTCTGGGTATCATATGCATTTTCTGTTTTACTTCACTTTTCGTGGGAATGGCTCTGCTCCTCCTGATGACATTGGATCTTTGCAGGCTCGGCAGGTCAGCTTCTTCATGTTATAGAGCTGATTTTTATGCTACAACGCGTAACTGTATTAGAATGAATTTTAATTTAATCTACCTATTAATGATTTGTGATTCATCTATATTATGTGTCTACACATGTAGCTCTACTTTGGTTGTACAAGTATATACAAAATAATATAAAAATAGTATTAGTAATAGTAGTATTACCACATTGTAAGTGTGTAGTGTAAGTGCAGATAACCATATCCTGTTAGTATTAGAGTAGATTATCAGATTTTGCACATGCACAAGGATATTACTATGTAGGAATTTGCCTATAGTATGATTATGAATGTCTCATGTAAATATCTCAACCCGACTGCAACAACTCAATTAAGCCAGAATTCCAAGAGCAAGTATTTTTTTGAAGAGAATAGCAGAAAACAATATGCATGTCTTGATTATATGGAATATCATGACTATACTATGTACAGCTATATTCAGTTATGTGTTGAACATGCTTTTTTGCAAACTTTTTTGCTAAGTTTGGCTTAACCAGAATAATGATGAGCATGTACACACTACCATTCAAAAGTTTGGTGTCTATAAGTATTTTCCTCGCCAAAGCTGTTTGAAAAACACAGCAGAACAGTAATATTGTGAATTAATTAATTTTGTGAAATTTCAAATTTCTGTTTTCTATTATTTTATTTTTTTTTAAACTTTTGAGTGGTTATGTAAATGCAATGTCAAATATGCTAATCTGTTTCTTCAGTAATGCATTCTGTAAAACAATTTGAAATAACTTATCTATTCTTCAACACATCACATTACTTGTGTTGCTGTGCTCTGTATTTAAAACTTTTACCTTGTTCTTTGCTTCTCCTCTTGTTGGACTTTTGGGAACCCGTTGACCTTTGACCCCTCTATAGGTCCTGCAGGTTAGACATCTTGGTTTGATACTCACCTGTGTCATGCTGTGCACTTCCATTTGTTATTAGATGATTTACCTCTGCATATGAGGTTGAGTGGGACTCATTCTTCATTTTAGATGTTTAACTTTCTTATCCCCATCCAATTATAGGAATATAGTTATGAGTGTTTAGTTGATCTCTCTTTGTGCCTTCTCCAAGAATATCCCAGAACCATTCAGCACACCACATACAACAATATACATGATAAACATGCACACAAATCCGGACATCAATGCTTGGTTAAATAATATTGACAATGATTTCATGTTGTAAGATGAATCCTGTTTGTTAATCAGGTACCACTGAAACGGGTAGAAACTGATTTCTTTTCTGTGAATGTGAAGGTTCTCCTGGCCCTGAGGGTCCCCGTGGACCTCCAGGTAGTGGAGGAGTAAAAGGTGAGAAGGGCATGCCTGGACTCCCTGGGATACCTGGTGCACCAGGACTGAAAGGAGATTACGGTCCCCCTGGCTTTTCGGTAAGCACTATAGATGTGGTTTAAAAAGAAAGTTTAGTTATTGTTAGCAAAGGCTTTCGTACAATTTGCATTTGTAGAATCATTGTAGGCTGCATTTGGTTTATGTGGGTTTTCTGACACTTTGCTGAAAAGAGGGCAATATTTTGTTTTGTTAATGGCTCTCTGGAATATATGATTCTGACTGGTCAATTCTAACATACTCTGGTCAGATATTTCTTGATAATGACCGCTAAATGATATGATTGGCAACCAATTTCCTGCATAGTAGTTCTAGTATGTCTTTGGTATCTCTGCTGTCTCACGTGATAAAATTATTTCAAATAATATAAAGAGTTGTTCATTTATTTATAAATTTCCATTTATAATATTAATTTAATCGGATAATGATTTGTTTTTTAAAAGGGTACTCCAGGAAATCCAGGACCTAGCGGCCTGAAAGGAGATACTGGACCTCAAGGTGTTCCTGGATTCCCAGGTCGGTTTTCCTTCTACAACCATTAAGGATTTGTTTACAAAAATAATAAATGTCTGTAATTATTTATACACCCTAATGTTGTTGAGTCCCATTTGCTGTTATTTATTTCATGGAACACAAAAGGATAATTTTTTAATATTCTAAAAATGGCATATGAAGCACAGTGACAGATTAGTTTCAAAATTACATTCAGAAAATGATCATTTGAATTTTTACTGTTTTTGCTATATTTTTTAATCAAATAAATTGATCATATGTGTGATTCTTCATAATTCTTCTTTTGTGTTCCACACGAAAACATAACAGCGTACATGTCTGGGACAACATCAAAGTGAATCTGTAATAAAATGTGTAAAGGTTAATGTTTGTTGTGAAGCTGTATTTATGAATGAGTCTTATCCACGTAACCTCTGCATGTTATAGGACCTAAAGGACAGCTTGGCCTTCCTGGATCTAATGGCAACCCAGGAGAACGTGGTGACACTGGAACACCAGGTGAGTCATTTTAAAACCTGGATATTTTTCCCCTTACAATTCCAATGAAAATGCATCCTCTAATACTCCTCTCCCCTCTGTTGACCACAGGTTCTCCTGGTGAGCCAGGCTTTGCTCCAAACCCAATTCTTTTGAAGGGGGAGCGTGGTCAATCTGGACCACCTGGTATCCCAGGCAGCAGAGGCCCAACAGGTCCCTTGGGATTGCAGGGTCTTCCAGGTTAGTGGATATATTTAGATTGTACACAGTACAGTTAAAAAATGTTATAGCTGATACCTGATCTGGGCTGTGCTTCTCAAAAGCATTGTGAGCTTTAAGCTGATCGTAGAGACCATTGGTGCCATTGGTTATATGATCTACTTAGGTTTACGATGCTTTTGGGAAAAGCAGCCCTGGTCTTTTTCCTCGTCATGTCTGATTTCATTTCTACCTTTAGGTTCGCCTGGTGACCCCGGAGACCCAGGTCCAATGGGACCTCCAGGATTTACCGGCTCACCAGGAAGGAAGGGAGATACAGGACCAGCTGGACAACCAGGTAATGTTAAGGTCCAAGACGTGGCTTGGTGGGTAGACATGTTGCACAGGGCTTATCCAAATTCAAATCCAGCTTGGGTCATGTTCCAGTACTTGGTGCATCTCCACTGTCTTGTCCAATAAAGGCCAAAAGGCCTTTAAAGATTCAAGTTTTTAAAAAATGTAAAAAGGTTATTCACCTAAAAATGAAAATTCTGTCATCATTTACTCACCCTCGTGTCTTACCAAACCCCTAAGACTATACAGATTTAATTTAGGCTATTATTTATATATAAACACATACATAGAACGCGTTACAAGCGGTAAACGCTGAAGCTTATGTGTACATCACGTGTGTCACACACTAGAACAAACCTCATGGTTCTCGTGCATTACACACATGCTCAAGCTTTCATGTTTACCATATTTGATGTGCTCTATGTATTAGATGTAAATAAAAGCCTAAATTAAAGGGGTCATGAACTGCCTTTTTTATTATTTTGTACTGTTCTCTGAGGTCCCCTTATAATGTTATCAAGATTTTTACATCAAAAAACATAATTTAGAAATAATAAGCTATTTTCTGTCCTGTTTTGACTCCCCTCATCAGAACGCTCTGTTTGAATAGGCACGATGGATTGTAGACTCAGAAGTAAACGCCCACTGCTATGATCGGCTAACACTTGCGTATGTTTGACAGCCTACATCCTTCATAGATGGACGCTGCTGTGATTTAGGTCAAAAAATAAATACTAAGTACATATCAAACGATCTGTAATAACAGACAAAGCAATAGTGACAAGGTAATAAAAACAGTTACTCACACTTGTGTGGTGCGACATTACTGTTGGATCCAATATTGACTATATTGCCTTATAGTCATTATATTATAATGCACAGCATTGTCTTTTAGTTTCAATCATTCTGAAAATCCTGCATGGAATTGTGCCTTGTTTGTAAACGAATCCGTGGTAAAAAGAAGTGAACAAAGGACCAATTCCTTACTGGCGTGGTTTGGAACTTCATTAAAAATAAAGTTCATCCACTCTTTCCTTATGTTGGGATCAGAAGGAAGGCAATGCAAAGACTCTTTTACCACAACTTAGCACTGCACAGTGTCTTGCTGTATTCACAGCCATCATTATCATTTTGTTTCTGCATAGACCTGCATTCGCCTCTCGTTATTTACACTACATGCATGAAGCGGTGGGCGGGGCTAATCAGGCAGCGATGTAGAAGCAGGTGTTGATCTTCTGCAGAGGCGGTGTTTAACCACACTATTACATCATAGAGTGGCACATCACAAAAGCTGTCATTCTGGCAGACTGGCTTCAATATAAGCTGATTTTAGATTAACGAGTATGTTTTGAGTTCTGAAACATACAGGATGTTTTATAGCACAATGACCGCTTATATGTCAAAAGATCAAGGGAATTTTGGTTTCTCAGTTCATTACTCCTTTAAATCTGTTCATGTAAAGTGATCGTATCTCTTCAAAAGACTTGGATTAAACTGCTTGATTCATATGGATTCATTTTCCATTTATGATGAGGGTGTGTAGCAATACCTGACATTATTGCTGATATGAAGGTGAGCAAATGATGACAGAATTTTCATTTTTGAGTGGACTATCCCTTTAAGGATCATCCTTAAAATTGGTGGCTCTATTATTCTTTTTTCAGATTTTTGGAAACAGCAGGAACAGGAAGCTTATAAGCAGTGCCTGAATCTTCTCCACTTCCATGTATCATCCTCACAATAACCATAACTTAATTATTTACAGGTTCGCGTGGTTACCCCGGCCCTCCTGGTCCAGAAGGGATTCAGGGCCTTCCAGGTATCGCAGGATCATCGTCTGCCGCACACGGTTTTCTGATCACGCGCCACAGTCAGACCACAGAGGTGCCATCGTGTCCTGGAGATACAAGACTCATCTATGACGGCTACTCTTTACTCTATGTGCAAGGCAACGAGAGGGCGCACGGACAGGACCTGGGTGAGTGTCCCCCAAAACACACAGAGCACACGCATGTAGTATTTTCTTTCTCACATCACATTTATCATGACTAATATGTTTTTTTCTTCATTCAAATTAACATCAGGTTCGGCTGGTAGTTGTCTACGTCGTTTCAGCACGATGCCTTTCATGTTCTGCAACATTAACAATGTCTGCAACTTTGCTTCCCGCAATGACTACTCCTATTGGCTGTCCACACCACAGCCCATGCCCATGAACATGGCTCCTATCACTGGAGAGAGCATCAAACCTTTCATCAGTCGGTAAGAGAAGGTCACTCTGACACAGATGATGAGTAGGAGTGGAATCTGTGGTTTGGCAAATTTACCTGAATCTATTGAATTGTCTGAATCATTTTGTGTGTGTGTGCAGGTGCTCTGTGTGCGAAACTCCAGCCATGGTGATTGCTATACACAGCCAGACCATTCAGGTGCCATCCTGCCCGGACTACTGGGCCGTGCTCTGGATCGGTTACTCCTTCATGATGGTATGCACCATATGCACTCTTGGGGGAATTTATTTAGAAAGAATTGAATATTAGTAATATTAGTAAGCATTAATCCGCCAAATCAAAGTCTAACTTACATATAAGAAGCCATTTTATCACGTGACAAGAGAACCATAAAACTGTTGACCCAGTTAGAACTGAAGTTCTCAACCTTTTTGACTCCAAGGCCGAAGGCCCCCCATTGTCACAACAATATTTGAAGGCCCCATTGTAGGCTTTCTCTGGTACTTTCTACTGTAATGATGTGACAAAGCATTCTCTTTTATTTACAGAAACTAGAAGTGTGCAAACATTAAAATAAGTAACTAAGATAATTAAGTTTATACGTGCTGAATGTTATTTTTAACCATTTTTTTATTTATGATTTTCCAATCATTCCTGATTTACTGGATAAGGATTAAAGATAAGAATTTTTAAAACATAGTTTTACTTATAATTTTTATCAAATAAAACATTTTATTTAACTAAAACTTATAAATCGCCTATGGTGTATTAAGATTTTATTAATTTACATGATTTTTACAAGTCTGAAAGTCAAACTTTTAGAATGAGGTTACGTCTTGTATCCAGGTTTTTAAGACTGTGGGAAACCTGGATATTTAAAGCTGCAGTCCGTAACTTTTTTTTTTTTTGTTAAAAATGATCCGAAATCAATATTTGAGCAAGTACATAACCAGCCAGTGTTCAAAACTATCACCTTACTTACTTTATTACATTATAATAATGTTTTCTGATTTGAGTACTGGTAGGAATTTGTGGGAAATTACGTCACGCCTGTAAACATAATGAAGTTGTCCCAGCTAGTATACTATATCACACGTGAGGATCCTGCAGATGGAGAATAAGAAATATCAAATAATTAAATATAAGAAATATCTTGATTTTGAGTTGTTTTGGCTTATTTTAAACATTGTTTCGTTATTGTTATTTGATGTCATCTTAGGCCCTCTAGTGAGTCCCGGCTTCCTGATTCACTGCATTAAGACCATTGTGATAAAATAAATGTACTTCCTGAGATTCATAAAGAACAACAACAAAACATTTTGAAAACAATAATGAAGTAACAACAATAATTTTTGGTTTTAAGGTGTCTTTGTTACACATTACATGTACTTACTATTATAATAACAATAAATTATTCATAATTACATGCAAGTAACCCTAATCCTAACCATATAGTAAGTACATGTAGTTATTTAATATTACTCAGTACTTAAATGTATAATTATACTGCAACAAGGACACCTTAACTTAAAGTGTAACCAAATTTTTATACTGGTTTACATCACATTTTTAAACTCTTCAAGTCCAAGTTGAAATGTTGTTCAAATAAAAACAGCATGAATATAAAAGTTGCGTTTTTAAAAACTGGCATATTTTTGAAAAGATCTACTACATCCTTGTTGGTTTTTGCCTCACATTCATTACTCACCTTGCTCTGTGTAACAGCACACCAGTGCAGGTGCTGAGGGCTCAGGTCAGGCTCTTGCCTCTCCCGGTTCCTGTCTGGAGGAGTTCCGCTCGTCTCCGTTCATCGAGTGCCACGGTCGAGGCACCTGCAATTATTACAGCAACTCGTACAGCTTCTGGCTGGCCACTGTGGATGTGAATGAAATGTTCAGGTAATATTTCATTCCAAACTATGACAACTTCAAAAACAACAATTCTTCTTGGCAGCTTTCTTGAAAACTGCAAATGTCACACTGTTTTAAAATCAAAAGATGTCTATCAGAGTCTTTTTTTCTCTCTGCCCAAACAGAAAGCCGCAGTCAGAGACACTGAAAGCTGGAAACTTGCAGACCCGTGTGAGCCGCTGTATTGTGTGTATGAAGAGGACGTAACGTAGTGACATTTTTGCAGTCTGTTGTTATTGTTGAGGATCAGCCATCACTTAAAACGACTGCGGGGCCATCATGCTGATTTCCAGTGAAGTTTCATTGGTGCAGTATCTTCACATTTAACTCTATGGTGCTACTGTGTGACACAGCAAAAGAAACTGAACAAAATCAATGAATTTATTAGTCTTTTTTTATTTGAAAGAAGTACCTCAAAAGAAAAATGCAGATCCAGCAAGGTGCCATGGCAGTTGTGACAACAATGTGCATTAGAATTTTCTTTTTTTCTCTAGAGATTCTTTTCATGTAATATTTTCCTACAAGAATTTTGATGTTGGTACACAAATGGTACATTTTTGGGGAGAAGCACTCTCTCGCTTTTTTCTATTTTCTTTCGAGTGGAATTGTCTCCATGTTACCAAATCGGCACTTTGAACAAAAATCAAAGAGACGAAATGCACTGAAGCGCTACATTAATGGGACTGCTTTTTTAAGGCTATCGTTTTTCCCCAATCACTTTTTCTTCTTTATTGGTGGTACTAACACTGCTGTATCAGGACTTTTTTAGCAATGTGTCATTTATCTCTTTTTGTAAGTAATAAAATGTGTATATTGTGTAAAACACCTTTTTAGCGTAAAAACAAAACAGATCTTTTTAACAAATTTCTGGGTTCTTTGTCAGTATGCTCACCACTCACTCCTTTATTCACATATTAGTTCCACATTCTTTTACACTGACATTTGTACAAAGAACTTTCTTTAAATTAAACAGTATTTTATAAATATATATATTAAAAAGAAAGTATATATCCAGAAACTTGATTTGGCTGTAGGAGGGTTTTTTTCATTCAGTAGTTGTTCTTCATAGCACATATGCGTAAATTGAATTGTTTTTACAGACCTCTCCTCTCTTCAGATTTCATTTAACCAGCAAGCACATTTCTGTGAAAATCCATCAAATACTAGTGTTATGAATTTGTAAACTTTTCAGTAGTTCTTATGTGTTATATTATGCCACAGTGTGGCCTGTCACTGCTTCAGATTAGATGAACCACTGTCTGTCAGCAAATGTGAACATAGACTACACTGTGGCATATTATATTACAGTTACATAATATATACATGGTTTTGTTTATGCGTAGTTGTACACAGTACATACCTACAATTTGCTTATAGTGATGGTTCATCTAACCTAAAACAGTGAAGATCTTTTCACATGTCATCATGGTTTGCAAAAATGTGTATTTCAAAATCCTTTCCCCCTTTTATGTCTAGTATCCAGAAAGTGTTATAAACTTAAATGGCTGAAATAAAAGCAACAAACTTTGTCTGTGCATGGTGAACTTTTTTTAGAGTTGGATTCTGGATGTTTTGTTCTGGTTAGTTACGACAGTATTAGTGTGGTACATTACAACAGTGTTATTTTTCTTCGCAGTAAGTTTCTTCATCTAAAGCATCCAGTCTTGCTGCATGGAATCCAAAAATACAGTTTTATGGCGGTGGACCACTAAAGGGAGAACTGAGTCAGGACTGTAGAGCTGCACCAAACAGCTGTCTTTATCCTGTCAGACATCTATGCCAGTATATAGATATGGAGTTCAGCAAAACTTTGCAGATTTCCAGCCACTGTTTTGTTGTGTAGTAATACATGATGATTCAATCACAACGTGATGGTAAGTGGATGTAAAATCCATTCAAATAAATCTGGTTTGTGCCGTATTTTTCCTGTTAGTGTATCACTCTCCTTCCCTCCTTCCTGCTCTTTCTGATTCTAACAATGTGCTTGTTATCCTGTGATATATTGGTTAATGACTAAGCTTTGAGCTTAGGAGAGGTTATTAGGACCTAAATAGTCCATATAAGATCCAGTTGACAAACTGAGTGTTGATATTTGGCAAGAGCTAAGCTCTCAATAGGATCAGTGAGCAGATGACAGTGACCCCATTGCCACTGGGATAATGGTATTTGTTCCAGCCAACAACAAGACCAAGGGGCAAAGGCCAAGCTCTTTACAAAAATTACTTAAGTGGTCTTATTCCTAGAAGGAACCAAAACAAGGGTCAACATTGGTTCTGAATGAATAAAGCTTGATCCGAAAGTTCATTGTTCACTACTTGTGCAACTGAATCGTTCAGTCAGGCTCTGAATGAGTCAGGCTATTATGAAAAGATTTTTTTCCTTTGTTTTTAACATTCATGGACGATAATAGACAGGTGGCAACTTTTATAGACATATACTAATGGTTAACTGTCATAAATATGTATCCAAAATATATAGTAGGCATATACAACCTGCATATTCATACCTTAAGTTAAGCCATTCAAGTTGAAGATAACCATACAATCTGATTTTGGATTAACTTTGATTTTGGATTAAGTTTGCGTCTATGGAATGGTTCAAGGAATGAGACACGTCAAATCTATATTTCCAGGTAGTTTGCCCCTTAGGAGTATATCGGATGAAATGCATGATTTAGGGAATAACCTTTTGCTTAATGAGCTTTAAAAAGGAATCGCTGCTTATGTCTGTTTTGAAACATGAGCACCTAGTGGCAAACACTACATCTCCTGAGAGCTGGAATTTGGCGTAAACGTTCACATGTTGCCCCTGAGCTCATGATCCACATGCAACCTAAGCCCTAATAGAACCTTCATTTGTGCACATACTGTACAAGCTACTGAAATCAAATGTGCTGCAGGGAGAAACCCCAGCTCCTAATGACGCAGAAACGTCTATCAGAGGAGGATTCCCCGTCTTCGCTCTGCAGTGGTGCAGCCAAGATTTTAGCAAGGGTTGTTAGAAGTGCATTGGGAAATCACACTGACTCACTCTTCTAAAACCGATCTGTCGTTCAAATGAAATTAAGCGATATTACACAAGCACCTGTGCTGTTGCTAATATCAGCACTGGTACAAGGTTGCAGAAGTTAATTTTGAGTAACATATACATTCTTACATGCATACACACACACACACACACATTCAAGTTACAGTTATATAATGAATATGGGCTTAAAGTGCACACTCTGAGCTTTAATTTGAGGGTATTCTCATCAAAATTGATTCTAAGCGTACCATTTGCATTTGGAAGCTGTTGCTGTGAACCCACATCATGCGATCAAAAGATCTCTCCATGCAGGTGAAACAGACAATTGTTAGGCTTCAAAAACAAAACAAATCCATTAGAGAGATAGCATGAACATTCAGAGTGACCAAATCAACAGTTTGGTACATTCTGAGAAATAAAGAAAGCATTAGTGAGCTCAGCAACATAAAAAGGTACTAAAGGCAGTAATACCCACAAACAAGCAACAACTGAAGTCAGCTGCAGTAAAGGCCTGGCAAAGCATCACAAAAGAAGAAACCCAGTCTCTGGTGATGTCCATGATTTCCAGAATGAAGGCAGGTCATTGCCTGCAAAGGATTCTCAACAAAATATTAAAAATGAACATTTAATATATGATTATATTTATTTGTCCAATTACATTTGAGCCCCTGAAAATGGGGGGACTGTGTATAAAAATGGTTGTAATTCCTAAGCATTTTATATTTTTGTTCAGCCCCTTTAATTAAAGCTTAAAGTCTGCATTTCAATTTCATCTTGATTGTTTTATTTTTAATTCTGTTCTGGTGGCATACAGAGCCGAAATTATGAAAATTGAAAATTGCGTCAATTATGAAAATTGTGTCAGTGTCCAAATATATATATGTATATGTATATACACCTGCATAATTAAGGGCGTGGCCACTTGAGTGACAGGTGAATTGCCGCTGCTGTCACCACCATCGAGCTAGGTGGGCGTGGTTTCAACAACCAGCTCCCGTCTCTTTGCCCATCTTCGATTATCCGGGAGTGACGCGCGGTGACGCGCTGCCTCCGCCCACGTTTGAGCTTCAAAAACTTCGGAACGGACACTACGTCCATGTTTTTATACAGTCTATGGTATATATATATAATAGGGATTAACTTCCTATTTTCCTATTACCATTTGAAGAAATTGCCATTCAAACTGAATTTAAAATGATGTTACAGCATCTTGATTAAGTAGCCTATGGACTAATAATTGACGTCAAATTGATATCAAAGTATCCGCTGGGTTACAGTATCAGTTGAGTCACTTCATTGCCATTCACAACCCTTCTCCGGTAGCCTCATGAATGCACTATTCAGAATCATGGCAGAAATACTAGGTCAACTGGGTACTTTTGCCTTCTGTTTTATGAATAGTCAACTCTGACATATTACTCACATACTATATCGTTATATTCGGATGCAGTCATGGTGGTTTGCTCCTCAATGAGTCAGTGTTTTTGAACGAATTGATTGAGTCCATGATTCAATGACTCACAAAGACAATCACTTCTCGCCACCTGGATAGCCAGTCTGCCTGGACACTAAAACGGAAATTAAACATTTCCCTTTCTTTGTATTCAGTTAGCCTTCAGCAAAGGATCTTACATGATGACATTAGGTTGAACTGTGATATTTGGACCTGACATTTCACATCAAATGATACCAATGTGTGCTGCTGCCAGTGAAGGTGCAAGGTGTCAGACACAGCATATAGGGGACTGATTCTGTACATTAGCGAGCAGTGCCAAAACGCTGATATTTAAATACTGAAAATCCATTTAAGGGCATCATTATAGAGGAACAACAACAGTTCATGACATGGTCACTGTGTGTAGAAGGACGTTATCACTCCCTAGATACATGTGAGTAGATCTCTGTAGTGGTTTGAGGCCCCTAAGGAGATAATAGTTTCCAAGTTTAAGTGTCTTACTACATCCTTATGGGCAAATAAGCTCTGAGATTCTGGGAAAGAAGTCGACCCCCCTGAAAAGTTCACTTGCAATGGTCAGTTATCCGCTTTGATTTCCCCAAGCTACTTACTGACACTGCTTACTGGCATGAGCATGCTGGGGGAGGGTGGGGGGTTAGGGGTGTTATGGTGTGCACCCAGTGACGCATACATGTGTGTGCTTGTCTTTTTTTTTTAATCAGATGTAGACTGAAGTCCATGAAGTTGAAAAACTTGCAAATCTTCATGCAACAGTTACCGTTTTCACAATGGACTTTTATCTTTTAATAGACAGTAGTATTGTCCTTCAGTTTATTTGTCAGTTTTTATGTCTGATCAGTTCCTATAACTGAACGGGTTTGGTTTTTAATATACATGTGCTCTGGTTTCTCTGCATTTTTAAATGTCATTTGGCCTGCTGGAAATATCACAGTATCGAATGTTGTGATTCAGAGGAAATTATACAGAAGTCTGTTGAACAGACTTGGCAATGGCAAGAAAACGCATGAACTCTTTGGTGTTTATTGTATATGCCATGCAATTCAACATGTTCTTCCATTATTTAATATCAGTGTTTGTGGTCTCTATCAGGGCTTCTCAACCAGGGGTCCAGAAACCACTGGAGG